GCCTGATCTCGTTAACGCAAGCGCCAGCAGTCAGTGGCCACCTGTTCGGGGCCCTGAGGCGCATGAAGGTGACAAGGCCCTCTCCTGCGAGTCTGAAAGCACCCCCCTTGGGTCTTGAGAGTCTCGTATTTCTACTTTTGCCCTTCTTCCTCTAAATCTAGTCCGTTGGTTCTAAGAGGAAGGCGGCAAGCGGGCGTGTGACCCGTGACCCGCGCCAAGGCCTTTGTGGGAGGTGGCCCCACCGATTGCGGGAGCTCTGCCGGGACTCAGGAGGAGTCCTGGAGGCAGGGAACTGAGTGGTAATTCCCTGACTCCCTCTATAAACCCARTATARCCMCTATCTGTAMAWCTTTCTATGGTTTAACYGAGTGTACTGCGTGGCTCYTGTACTCTGATTTTGGTTTGACTGTCAGGACTTAAGTCAGACTGAAGTAAAGGAGTGTRTGTGCAATCTCAGTTTCAGTTTTTGTTGATTGCCTGRAAGCAGGTTGTGGATGAAGTGGGTTGCATCTGGGGGAAGGTTGGGAGGAAGGCAGTATTGTGTGCAGATTGACTGGGTCATTAAGGCTAGGAGGTCCTCTTAAGTTTGGGGAAGCCCAGCGCTTTGTTTATTTTTGGTTTGCATGGAGCCTCAGGCCGCTCTATAAGTTTAGGTAGCCTGAAGCTCTGGAGGCTAGGATGCCCCCATAAGTTTGGGGAGACCTGGCGCTGTGAACTGCGTAGAGGGTCAGGACGCTCTATAAGTTTAGGTGTTCTGACTGCTTTGACTTGTGAGGGTTTGACTGTGGGTGACTTTCAGGGACCCAAGGCGCTCTATAAGTTTAGGCACCTTGGGTTGCCTCGTTTTATTTGGGGTTTTCTCAGTTTCTTTGGTTTTGAACAAGGAGGTCTGAACCGCTCTATAAGTTTAGGTGGTTCGACCCTTCTCCTGTTTTATTTTGAGGGGATAATCCTGGCAGGAGACGGGCCGCTCTATAAGTTTAGGTAGCCTGTCCCACTGCCTCGCACAGATTGGATCAGAGAGAAACGAACCTGGCTGAGGATCAGACCGCTCTATAAGTTTAGCTGGTCTGACCCAATGCCTACCACATGTTGGAACCCAATGGATATAATTTGGCTATATTGTAATGCTATGCTATTACGAACAGGCTGGTCATGCCGCTCTATAAGTTTAGGTAGCCTGAATACAGCTTATCATAACTGAAGAGAGTATATTTAAGAGATATAACTGAAGGTAAACGTGGGCAGGATGAGCAATGTTCTAAGTTGAGCGGCTCATCCTTATGTCCCTTTGAAGACTAAGTTCATATATATATATATATATAAATTGGCTATTTGAACAGTTCAGGACGACTAGAGTGGTCTAGTCAGACACCCAAAGAAGAGAGAAGTAGTTTTGCCCTCTGTTTGTGTATACCTGACCAAGTCAGAACGCTCTATAAGTTTAGGTATTCTGATTTTGGGCCTGGCTAAAGTTGGGCGCGCTCTGTAAGTTTAAGTGCCCTGGCCTATGCCTTATGTAAGTTGGGTATGCGGGGATAACTCACTGAAAGATCATGAACTATTATTTGTTCAAATTGGCTTGGGGATGATGAGAGTACTTACCTTTGTGGTTTGGCCTGCATGTGGATGAGTGAGATTACTACTTGGTCTGGGTTTCAGGTTGATAGATAGTTGCTTTAGAGACTCGCCACGTGCTAGAGCGATAGGAGTTAGGTCAATTCCTGCATTTTCTGAGCTGACTTTATTTTACTTAGATCAATTCTTTCATTTTCTGGGATCTTTTGTTATACTTGGCTTTGTATAAATCTTGGCAATTTACTTTTTCTACGGGAAGCGATGCCGAAATTTCTACGAATCCAAGGAGTTAGTCAACTTTTGACTTGTCAAAGTTCAACTTATCTATTCTTTATATTTGACTTAGTAAAAATTTGGAAAGTCTCATTTTCTAAAGGGAGTGCTGCCCAAATATTTGCTAATTCAGGGAGTTAGACAAAAATGGACTTTGAGAAGTCAAAATTATTTTTAGATTCTGAACTTAGCCTTGTATAAATTTTGGAATAACACTTTTCTAAAGGGAGTGTTGCCGAAATTTATGCAAACTTAAGGAGTCAGTCAAATTTTGTCTAAGTTGAACTCAAGTTGCCTTGTGAGTTCATATCTGACCTAGTATAAATCTCGGAAGTCTCCCTTTCTAAAGGGAGTGCTGTCCAAATTTCTACTAATTCAGGGAGTTAGACAAAATTTAGCTTTCCAGAGTTGGAGATTATTTATGTTTTCATATTTGGGTTGATATAAACTTGGAAAAGACACTTTTCTTACAGGGAGCGCCGCCAAAATTTTCCTGTTAGATTATATTTTGACAGATGACGATTCTGGCAATCCACCCTGAATAGGGGAGATTCAACCAGGGTCTGCCTGTGCTTTGAGCACCGCTTCGAGGTAGATTAAGGCTTAGCTAGGTAGGAGGATTTGAGTGAGAATATGTTATGGAGTTGTATTCTCCATACGCTCATGATCTCAGCTTGGAGATTGGTCTGTCATGTGTTACAGGTCGTCTTGATCGTTCGATTCAAGATCAGGACTAGATTCAGCTTGATCCCTTGAGGATCGTCTTCTGTTATCATTGATAACAGGTCGGTTGCCGATTCGTCGGTCTTCGACTCAATTTCAACTCATTTCCCCGTACTCAACCTAAAAGGCTTTAGCCGTGGTGGTTTTTACTGTTTGTTAAGGGTTTCACCCGGACTTTTATTGAATGGCCATTTAACAAAGCTACTGAGTATTTAATTGAGGTTGGTTGGACTAGCAGTTGGAGCTTGCAGGGCTAAAGCGAAAGGGTATAAGCATAGAGAATGGTTGGGGTTGACTCCGTGTAGTGTGTGTTTTCTCGCTTGATTCTTAGTGTGGTTGCAGGTATGTCCTGTGCCTCGGATTTTGGATTTGGACAGCCTGCGATTTCATAATACATATACATGGTTGTGAGGAGTCCCACTGTGCCTGTGAGAAGTGATCCTCATAACTCTATCCCCTTTTCCATGTATGAGTGGGTATACGTACGATGGGTATTCGAGGGGCCCAAAGGGCCGTGTTAATAACCGTGTGGAAGTTGGGGCTGAGGGACAGGGAAGACCCTCCCTTCTGCCTATTTGCGTCTTGAGGATTTCTTAGTCCAATGTTGGTCTTGGACCGGGATTCGAGGTCCTTGTCTAGGACATCCCAAACCCTAGGCCCTGAAGAGGAGGGTCTCCCCTCGCATAGAGCCTATTTACTTTGGCCAGCAGGATACTCCACCTGAGAGGTGGGAACGTCGCGAGGCCGAACGGCGTGTCCTTCAGCCGTTCAATATCATGAGGGGTAATCCCTCACGATGAGTTCCTTCAGCCATTCAATATCGCGAGGCCTAAGCCGCGGTCACCACATATGATTGGCATCATTGGTTGGCTTAGGGTTGGCCTGCGGCCGTGTAGCTTTAGATCAGAGCCCTACGCGCGATGCCTTGCCGCCCCGGCGTCTAAAGGTTATGGGACCGCCGGGCTTGTGCGTAGGCGCAACGCTTGGGATTATTATAGGCCGCCGGCACCGCCCATAGAGGGGAAGTGTGTCCCAAGGCCATGAGTTTTTGTTTTAAGGGCCAAGAGACCTTTGCCCTATCCCCCCTTCTTGGGTTCGTGCGAGTTTTGTTGCTTCTTAGAGATTGTTATGGTTGGACGTTGTAGTCTGTGGCAGCGGTCAAAGTCAAACCCCTTGACTTTCGCCCAGGCCCCGGGGAGGACTCACCCCTAGGGCCGCGAGAGACGACTACCACCACAGGCATGGGCCTGTGTACCACCCACTCTGCATAAGGGTGCACAAGAGGGTGTGTGGTCTCCGACCGCGCATTGCGGTTGTCTGGCATCGAGATATTAACCCTCTAGGCGCGTGTCAGCCGACACTTGAGTATCGAACGAGACCCTCGAGATTAATGAGGACCATGTGAGTATGGGTACTACCAGGTACGCCATCATTGCGACTGCTTGCGTACGCTTGCATTGCGAGTCGATATGAGTAAGCCCTGCGTCTGCGCGGTTTTATACTAAATCTCTCGCACGATGCCTATCCGATTTCCGCGTCAGGAAGTTATGTGTTGGCTACCGAGGGACTAGCAGTGTTTGTCGCGTTGCTTGTGCTGCGTCGTGTTGTACGTGCGTGTGTGTGTGTTTTATTTTTGTCTCGTAAAGTAGTGTGCGCGTGGTGTGTGGGATGCGTTCTAGTCGACCGACGTCAAGCCACGCTTGGGCTTTCAGCCCCCCAAGATGTTGGTTCGCGTGCGGGTCCGATAGACGTATTACCGCGCTTACCCCCTATGCTACAACGAACGAGAAATGCCCTCGGCTGGTCCACCTCTGCGATTGCAACCGAGTAGCTTTCGTATTATGGACTGGTAGCTCGGCGGGGATACGCCCACCGAAGGGAGGTGACAACTCCCGTAAGGTGGAGGTAAGTTGTGCCTCACGTAGGCCCTATCCTGTCGTAGGGGCTCGCGAGAGGTATGGCTGGCGCACTCGGCCGGAGCGGCCTAAGGAAGCTCCATCTGTGTGTTCGTGACGAGGTAGGTTCAACTCCTGCGTGACGCGGCCGAGAGGGTCCCGCGCCGCCGCGTGCGGTGGCGGACCGATGCGCTCGACAGGTGGCGCCGTTGCCAGGGATAACGGAAGCCTACCTTTGTCCCTGGTGGAACGACATCCGGGTACGAGAGCACGGGAGAACCTGGCATATGAGCGCGTAAAGAGAAGGATTGTGAGACGGACCGTATGGTGATCTATATGACTATGGGTTGGATGATTGATTGATTGGCGGTTTGGGTGGCAGCTGAGTGCTGTATGTGGATGAGGAAGTTTTATGGTAAGGATAAGCGTTATCTAGATGAGCCCAAGGGAAATGGGAGAAGGAATGCCTGTCAGGTCTAAAGTGTGGGGTGTCTAAGGTGGTCAACTCGATAGGGTCATGAAAGGTTGAGTCGCTGAGTGGGGTCCTCTGTCCCATAGTCTCTTATAACAGGGAGATTGAAGTTGAAGGCGGTTGACCAAGATGCCAGAAGAGATGGCGGACGGTGGGAGGAAGCTTGTGACTCTTGATGACCTCATCGATGCCCTGGACAAGCGTGAGAGGGCGCCGAGCAACGTCCCAAAGGTCGAGACATTCCACTTCAAAGGGGATCGGGTATCTGATTGGTTGGATCTGACAGAGCAGGCGCTGGTGGGACTGTCAGATGAGGTCAAGCTCCAGCGGGTCCTGAGGTATGTCCTGCACAATCACCATCGGGAAGTAACTAAGGTTGTGGA